ATGAGGCTTTCAGCGGCTCCCGGGCACGGAAGCCGAGCTGGCGGATGCAGGCTGCGCCAGAACCATAAAGTGCACCGGGCGAACGGGAATTCAATGATGTGTTTTAAGAAGTGTCTTTATGGCACTTTGCTAGACGGTGTTCAGAGAGGTGAGGGCAGGCTGGCACGGAGGGAGGCTCCTCCTCTGGAGAAGGCCTGGTGGACAGGGCTGACAACGGCGGGGCTCTGGGAACACAGCGGCGGGGGCATTTAATCACCTGGGCTCACCGTACCCCCAAGAGTGGGGTCTCATCAAAGTCCATGGCCCGAGCCACGGGGAGACAGAGCGTGAGGCACCTCAGAGCTTCTCTGCTCTCCCTAGGCCCCCTCGCCTCCGCCCGCACCGGGACACACCAAGGCAGGTGGGAGAAGACCCCCGCTTCTGGTTCCCGGGTGAGCCTGCAAGGTTCCCCAGTTCAGTAATCAAATCAGAGAAATCATCTGCTCTGCATGAAACCCCACGGGGGTTGAAATGAGCCGCATCTGCCCAGTGCAAAGGGAGCCTGGAGTACAGGTGCCCTTGCTTGCAGCGCCAGGGACAGGAAACGTGGCTCAGGACATGCAGGTCGCAGGCTCCAGCATTTGAGACCATGAGGGAGACAAATTTACACAAATCCAGTGTTGCTGTGGCCAAAACAGCACAGAGAGAGGAGAGAGGCCCAAGGGCTGACAAGAAAGGGGGTCACTGGAGACCCTTTGTACACCGTGGACCCTTTTATACACCGCTGTATACAAAATGGTTTCTGATGTGATCCCAGCACAACCTACAAATCAGGTGCTGTTCGTCCCATTTCACAGATGAGGAAACTGAGGCTCAGGGTGTTGCGGCTGGCCCAAGTCTGATGGCACCAATGCCCATCCTCTTCTTAGTAGACAGCTCTGCCCCCACTGCAGGTCAGAAGGAGGGTCTGTGACCCCCACTCCTGTGGTGACACAGCTCCTAGATGCCCCCAGTGCCCAACCTTAAGTCCCCTCATGCCCAACTGCCTTTAGAGTATGACTGTTTCCACAGTCTTGTGATAAAAAGGCACCACCTGTGGGGATAATAAGGCTCCCCATCACTGAGGCAACTAGAGAAATAATCCTCTGGCCAGTAAAATCATATTCTATGTAAATCTCCCCAAAGGACTGACTGTCTCCTACCCAGGAAGATCCAGTCTGGTGGTATTTACTTCCCCAGAGGGAGAACAGGTCTATAGGAGTGGCCAGTCAGCTTAAGAGGAAGAAAGGGAATGCCTAGGGTAAGGCAGAATTCGGCCATGTGTCCAGAGGACTCACTGGGCTGGGAGCTGAGGCATCCTGCACCCAGAACCCAGAGCAGACACTCAACAGTGCAGAGAGATGGAACTACTGAGCAACCACCCAAGGAAGGGGATCCTTGGTGGGTGGGTCCCCCCCCTTGCAGGGAAGCTTCCCCAGCCCACCCAGGGCAAAGGGATCCGCTTCCAAAATCATTCAACCAGCTCTCCAGCTGAGAACACATGCTGCCGAGTGAACTTAGGACAATGATTTGGCTTCCACGTGGCTTTTCCATGGGAGAGGAGGCCCTGCCCTGGCACACTTTCCAGACCCACCACTATATTTCCTACTGCGAGCTGCGCATCAACCTTCTGACCTACATCAGGCTCTTGTGAGTTTGGTTACTGTGTGCCAGTCTTTGAGAGAGGATCATCCCAGGCACAGACAGGCCTTTGGAGGCCTATGCATATCCCCAAGAGAAAGGCGAGCACATGTCCATCAAAGACATGGACAGGAATAATCAGAGCAGCTCTACTTCCAAAAGCTTCAAACTGGAAAACGAAATGCCCATCAACAGGAGAACAGGTACACAAAATGTGGTACATCCACACCATGGAATATTACACAGCCATAAAAGAGCAAACTGTTGGTACGCCCAATAAGGCACATCAACCATACAACTATGAGTAAAAGGAGCTGGACACACTGTATGCCTCTGCTCACATGAAGTTCAAGAAGCAGTAAGAGGTACTGATTGCAAAGGGGCTCAAAGGAACCTTCTAGGGTGCTGGCAACCTACTGACCACAACTGGATATTGCTGTAAAAATATACTGACCGTACGTACACCTGAGGTCTGTCTACTTAATGTACTTCACAGTACATGTAAGTCAGCTCAAAGTGTAAACAGAACATAAGGAAGAAAATTATCTGGGGGTTTTCAAGGACCAAAGCTTAGACCCCAATCAGAAGCAGAGTCCAGGGGCGTCTGGTGGCTCAGTTGGTTAAGCAGCTGCCTTTGGCTCGGGTTGTGATACCAGGGTCCTGGGATCAAGCCCCACATCAGGCTCCCTGCTCAGCAGGAAGCCTGCTTCTCCCTCTCCCTCTCCCTCTCCCTCTGCTTGTGTTCCCTCTCTCACTGTGTCTCTCTCTGTCAAATAAATAAATAAAATCTTTAAAAAAAAAAAAAAGAAGCAGAGTCCAGCTGAGCCAGCTCCCCAGTATGGCAGTTTTAAAAATATGCCCCCAATTCTTTGATCCTCTTCCCTTCCAAGGGTGGAGACTAATTTCCCTCCCCTTGAATGTGGGCCAGACTCCATGACTCCATTTTAAGCCCCAGCATAAGGCAGAATAGACATGTGGGACTTTAAAAACTAGGTCACAGGGGCCCCTGGGTGGCTCAGTCATTAAGCGTCTGCCTTCAGCTCAGGTCATGATCCCAGGGTCCTGGGATCGAGCCCCGCATCGGGCTCCCTGCTCGGCGGGAAGCCTGCTTCTCCCTCTCCCACTCCCCCTGCTTGTGTTCCCACTCTCGCTGTGTCTGTCTGTGTCAAATAAATAAAATCTTTAAAAAATAAAAATAAAAACTAGGTCACAAAAAGGCACTGTGGCTTCTGGCTTGGTCTCTGGGGGGGAAACCAGCTGCCATGTCATGAGGTGACTCAAGCAGCCCTGTGGAGAGACCCCCAGGGTAGGTCTGAGGCCTCTACCAACAGCCACTTCACAGCTGTAACCAAGTCCAACAGAACCACCCGCTAAGCTACTCCTAGGTTCCTGACCCTCAGAGACTGTAAGGTAATAAAAGTTTGCTGTTGTAAGCCATTGAATTTGGGGGTAATTTGTCACTCAAAAATAGATCACTGAAACACACAGATCACACCCCGACAAGCCTGCTGGGGTCTTCACGCCCAATGCCACCACTCCTCACACTGTTCCCTGACTGGATCCTGGAGCTCAGGCAGCCCCATCTGCCATGGTTTCTTCACAGCATTGGCCTTTGCCTGGCACTGCCCCACTGGTTTGGCCACGTTTTCAGCTGTTTCCTTCCCCTAGCGAAGAAGCTCCATGAGGGCAGGCACCTTGCCTGTCTCACTCATGGCTGCATCCCAGCACCAGAACGGTGCTGGCCACATAGAGGGCGCTCAGTAAAAATGGATGAATGAGGGCCACCTGGCTGACTCAGTCTGAAGAGCGTGCGACTCTTGATCTCAGGGTCGCGAGTTTGAGCCCCATGTTGGGTGTCCGGATTACTTCAAAATAAATAAACTTAAAAAAAAATGGATGAATGAATAGAAATCCCAGGTCCAAGCAGAGATACCACAGCAGCCTGGGAATCCCTGGCCTGTCAGCTTCGCAAGGTCTGGAAGTTTTCCGGGGCACCAAGGAATGGGAGGGGGTGGGGAGCTAGATCCTAGAAACAGTGACAGATCCAGGAGCAGGTGGCTGGGCCCCTTGCCTCCCTAGCTCTCTTTCCCACCAAGCTGGCTTGCTGCTCCTGACAGAGAAGGGGAGGCAGGCTCCCTGTGGGGACAGTCCCCCTGCCAGGAATCTCAGCCAGCCCCCCGCTCTCCACCCTAACTAGGGTTCTAGGGCCCCGGGCGGAGGGCATGACAGACACTCTGTGTGCGCACTGAGCCAAGTCAAGTGCTTTCTGCCCGCACTTGAAGATCCCAGCAAAGGAATTCATGACAGGGGTAAAGTCATCTTGAACTCTACCTCTAATTCTGAGGACGCCTTCCCTTTACCCCCACCTTCCCCCACCAGCCCACAGAGGCCCAGCCAATGAACAGCCTCCCCTGTGCTTTTGAAAGGGGATCCAGCCAGGAATGGTTACAAGAGCTCTGAGAGCAGGCTCTGAAGGGCAGTGGCAGCTGGCTGAGCAGCCGGCCAGAGTATTTGGGGCTCTGCAGGCCGGATGCCCTCCCTTCCCTGTTCTGTGTGGGGACCCAGAGTCCAGCCCTGGGACTCATGCCGGACCAGGACTCATGACCCGTCCCAGAGTGGAAGGAAATGGCTTGATTCCTGGGGGTGCAGGGTGTAACTGCTCTCACGGACATAATGCCCTGTCTCTGCCCTGCAGCCCCTCAGCCCTGTGTCCCCCAGGAATTGGGGCAGAAACTGTTCACAAGTGGCCAGAGGCCAGGGATGAGGGCAAAAGGGCACCAGATGACCAGCCCAGAGAGGCAGGCCTTCAGGGTAGGGATGGGGTGGAGGTGGGACTGGCTTGCCCACAGAGGCGACTCTGTGGGGCTGTCTGATCCTCCCAGGTGGGACACCACACCCAGAACTGTCCCCTCCGTCCATTTCCTGCCACTCTGCCTAAAATGACACCACTTGAGAAACCACACTGCACAAAGCCTGGGGAATTCAGGAGCCTAACGTCAGCTCTGCCCAAACTCTCAGTGACCTTGGCTCATCAGCTCAGTTTCCCTCCCGCACATCGGAGTCCGGAGGCAGGTCCTGGATGACCCCTGGGCGTGCCCTGTGACCCGCGCCGTTGGGGTAAAGTCGTCCTCCTCACACTGCCCCCGACAGGGGACCTGGCCCTCGTACGGAGTGAAGTGGTTTGCCGGACTGGGCACACGGGGGGCGTGGCTGTGACTGGAGGGGTCCATACTAGGGCGAACGAGGCCTTAACTTCCTCGGGTCTCTCGGGTGGAAGAGGCTGCTGGTGGGGTGCTGTCCAGCCCCCTCGCCCCTCGCGCCCCCCTCCTGCTTACACTTACATTTTGCCTCCTTCCAGTCGGTGGAGGTGCTCAGGTCCACCTTCGCCGCCATGGCCAGGGGGGCCCAGGTGCGCACCCCGGCGCTCCTCTCCGCCCCACTGCCGCCGCCCCCCAAGCCCCAACTCCCGCTGGGGTCCGCGCGCGGGGCCTGTCCGCGCCCTGGGACACCGGGGGAGCCGGACGCACTGCTGCGGGTTCGCGTGGCACCCGCCGAGGGGCCGGCCCAGGGGCGCGGGACGCAGAGCAGCTGCCCCGCCGCGCGCAGCTGTGCCAGGCGGCCGGACAGTTGGCTCCTTAGAGACATGAGCCGGCGGCGCGGGGCGGTTCCCCGCCCACTTGGACTCTATTTACGGGGCTGGGAGTCTGTCCCTGATCCGCCCGGGACCGAGCGGCGTGTGCTAGAGGCGACCGGCTCCGAGCTGGCGGGCCGCGCGGCCAGAAACCCCGAGCGCGCCGCTGGGCACCCTGGAACTTGTAGTCCCGGCCGCCGGACGGGCCCCCGCACTCGTATACACACGTGCGCGCCCCGCCCGGACTCCGCCCGCTCCGGCCGCTGGGTGGGAGGCTCCGGCTTCTCGGAGGGTCGCGCGGCTGCCTGGCGCCCCCTCGGGGCTGGCCGCCAACTTCCCGGTCTGTAGAGCCGCCCTCCCCGCGGCGCGGCCCCGGCCCACCTCTGCCCTGCGTACCTGGCCCGCCTCTGCCCTACGTCCGTGGCGCTCCGCGCTCCGTACCGAACTCGGAGAGCCGGGCGCGGCGCCACCCCGCAACCCCATACCGCCCCCAGGCCCCAGGAGCCGCGGTCCCTCTCCGCCGGCCGGCCCCGGGGAGGTGACAAGCAGCGCGAACGGGTACGCCCGGTTCGGCGACTTTCCCCAGGCAGCTGAGCCCTGGGGGCGGACAGGGACGCGACTGAAAACAAGGGTGCAAACCGTGGAATGTGAAGGCAGAAAATTTGAGTTCCAAGAGGCGTTCTCGGGTGGAACAATTGGCGTGGTTTTTTTCTTTATTTTTTTCTAATTTTTTTTTTTACGAAGATTATGAAGGTAGTTTTTTAAATACAAGTTTATGTTTTTCTACACTATTAATATTATTTGAGAAATATAATAGCAGATATTTTTATAACCTGAGGAGGAGCCAGGGTCCCAGAGAAGGTTCCAGTACCAGCTTGCCACCCTAGGGTACACAGTCCACTTGGGATTCACCTCTTGAGCTGTAAATTAAGAATAAGACAGGGACACCTGGGTGGCTCAGTCTGTTAAGTGTCCGCCTTCCGCTCAGGTCCTGATCTCAGGGTCCTGGGATGGAGCCCCTGCATCGGGCTCCCTGCTCAGGGAGCCTGCTTCTTCCTCTGCAGCTCCCCATGCTTGTGCTCTCTCCCTCTCTCCCGCTGTTCCTCTCTCAAATAAATAATAAAGATCTTTAAAAAAAATTAAAAGACAGGGCTCAGGTCTGGCTGGTTGCAGAGGTGCCCTGTGTTCCAGGCCTCTCTGGTGCTGGGTGTGGCAATAACCCAGGGCGGGCTGTGGGGCGGATCACACAGTGAGCCATGTGGATGCAGGGGCACCACCGGGATGTCCGAGAGAGAACCAGCACAGACCTGCCGGCAGGGAGGAGTGCGGTGATCAGCCTGGGATGAGGGTGGAGAGAGGCGATCAGAAGCCAGGGTCCAGGAAGGAAGGGCCAAAGGTCCCCAACATTCCAGGACCACCAGTAAGGCCTGTACCCTTTCCCCAGAAAGGTCAACAAGATGAGTTCAGGATGTGGTAGTCAGGCCCCCAGGATGGAGGTCACCTCACCACTTGCCACTTCTCCTATAACTCAGCCTTGCAAATTGCATCCAGGAGGGGCGCCTGGGTGGCTCAGAGGGGCGCCTGGGTGGCTCAGTTGGTTAAGCGACTGCCTTCGGCTCAGGTCATGATCCTGGAGTCCCGGGATCAAGTCCCACATCGGGCTTCCTGCTCGGCGGGGAGTCTGCTTCTCCCTCTGACCCTCTTCCCTCTCGTGCTTTCTATCTCTCATTCTCTCTCTCTGAAATAAATAAATAAAATCTTTAAAAAAAAAAATTGCATCCAGGATAGCAGCCACTTACAGGGCACTGGGTACCAGCTGGCGCTGAACTAAGCACCCTGCTTGCATTTGCTGTACCTTCGTTAGCTCGTTATGAGCTCTCAACGGCCAGGGGAGGCAGCAGGAATGGGCTAGAGGTCAACAACACAGCCTGTGAGGGTCAGAGCCCAGGCTTGGGCCTAGTTGTTTGGTTCTTATCTGTGGTCAGGAAAGCAATTGCACAGATGTCACTGATTCAGGAGAGGAAGCATGTGGATGACCCTGCATGTGTTCTCTCACTGCTGTAACAAGTTACTGCAAATTGGTGGCTTCCACTACACAAATGTATCATCTTAAAGTTCTGTAGGACAGAAGTCTGACGGGTCTCTCGGGGCTACAATCAAGGAGTCAGCAAGACTTTGTTCCCTACTGGAGGCTTTTTCTGGTCTTTTCCAGCTTCCGGAGACACCCACACTCCCTGGCTCGCGGCACCCTTCTTCCATCTTCAAAGCCAGCGATGCTGCATCTCCCCAACCAATTCTTCCATGGTGGCCCTTGCCTCTGACTCTCCTCCCCTTCCCTGCCATTTTCAAGGACTCTGGTGATTATGCTGGCCCCACCAGGATAATCCGTGACCACTTCCCTATTTAAAGTCTACTGATGTGTGGCATTAACTCCATCTGCAACCTTGATTCCTCTTCGCCATGTAATGTAACATATTCGCAGGGACGAAGATATGGACATCTTTGGGGGGGGCATTATTCTGCCTACTATACCCCTCCTGGCAAGGTCTGGGGAGGAGGTTACAGGGAGAGGCAGGGGCCCCAGCCATAGAAAGTCTTGGTGCCCAATCGGGAGGCTGCCTTTCTGCACAGAGCATGAAATCCACATCCCCCAGAGCCAGGCCTTCGAAGCACCCTTGCACACTCTGGGCATCTGTACCAGTCCTTCCGATTCTTTTGCTGGGATTCAGCTCTGTTCTCACCTGGCAGCCAGGAGAGAGAAGGTTCCAGCTCACAGGCCTCTGCTGTCTAGTCTAAGAGAGGCCTAGGCCCCACACTCAGGTGGACATGGACACGGAAGCAGGGCTCTGACTGAGCTAGGCAGGACCTCCTCACAGAGATCGAGCTGGATCTTTTGAGAAAGGTAAAATGTTGCCAGGTTCCAAATGTGTGTATGTGTGGGTCAGAGACATTTCAGGCAGAGGAATGCCCAGAAGCAGAGGCATGGCAGCCTATGGAATGCCGAACCTTCCAGCAGGGGCTATGCCATTGTCAGAGACTGTCAGCTGAGGATTTCTAATGTTGCAGAGGGGCTCTCTTGCAGAGAAAAGCTACCTACTGCTACTTGTGTTTAAAGGAATACTGTACTTATTAAACTTACAAATTAAAGAAAGAACTAGTTTTTCTTAAACATCCAAGTGTAACTTGCAAATCTAGTTTTCTATTTATAAATCTGCTAATTTTTGTATAAAAATAAGAACAATTACTTTCACTTATTCTTTGATGAATATTTAATTAACTCAGAGATTCAACAGATTAAATTCTAAAAATGAATGCCAATTACAAACTTAGGTAATTAAATTCCCTAATAGATTTTAAACTACATGTTACAGGGATGAGATAGCTGGTCTTCTCAAATACCTCAAACTCAACATCTAACAGGCATTTTTTTTTTCTTCCTTTTTCTTTATAAACAGGGAGGGGGTAGGGGTGAGGACACTCTCGCCCCCCACCTTACTCTGTCCTCACCAGCCAAGCATATTTTTTTCTAATCAGCTAAGCAGTTTTTAAAATATTTTATTTATTGGGGCACCTGGGTGGCTCAGTCATTAAGCATCTGCCTTCAGCTCAGGTCACGATCCCAGGGTCCTGGGATCGAGCCCCGCATCAGGCTCTCTGCTCAGCGGGAATCCTGCTTCTCCCTCTCCACTCCCCCTGCTTGTGTTCCCTCTCTCGCTGTGTCTCTCTCTGTCAAATAAATAAATAAAATGTGAGAGCACAAGCAAGGGGAGCGGCAGGCAGAGGGAGAAGAAGCAGGCTCAGTGGGGAGCCTGATGCAAGACTTGATCTGGGGACCCTGGGATCATGACCTGAGCCCAGGGCAGATGCTTAACCAACTGAGCCACCCAGGCGCCCCAGCTAAGCAGTTCTTCTATACTAATAGATTACACTTGTAAATATGGTCAATCAAGTCCCTTAAATGTTCAAATGTTGTTTATAACCTTAGATCATTTTGCACTGTCTCCGTTGTCTATTACTGCATAATAAACTACTGAAAACTTACTGGCTCGAAATAATAACCAAGGCATGGAGTCAGCAATTTGGTCTGGGATAAGCTGGAAGGTTCATCTTCTTCTGGTCTTGCCTGGGTCACTCCTCTGGCTGCAGGCATCTGACCACCTAACTGGGGCCAGGGGCCCAGGATGGCCTCAGTCCCATGACTGGCCATTGGTGCTGGCTGTCAGCCAGACTCCTTGGTTCTGCTCCAGGGCACTCTTATCCTTCCATAGGCTAGACGGGGGCAGCGTCACGGCATGCCGGTCTCAAGGACCTGCTCCAAGAGGGTGACCACAGAGGATGCCCTGCCTCTTGAGGCCTGACTCCGAAGTCATCCTACATCACTTCCACCACATTCTGTCATTTCACGTGGGGTCACAAGGTCAGCCCAGATTCAAGGGCAGGAAGAAAGAGACTCGACCTCTTTTTTTTTTAAGATTTTATTTATTTTTTGACAGTGAGAGAGGGAACACAAGCAGGGGGAGTGGGAGAGGGAGAAGCAGGCTTCCCACGGAGCAGGGAGCCCAATGCGGGGCTCGATCCCAGGACCCTGGGATCATGACCTGAGCTGAAGGCAGATGCTTAACCACTGAGCCACCCAGGCACCACGAGACTCGACCTCTTAATGAGAAGAGCAGCCGAATCTCATTGCAAAGGCAGCCTACAGGGGTGGGAGGAATTATTAGAGCCATTTTAACTAATTAAATCCACAAATCATGGTGCCTGGCTGGCTCAGTTGAAAGAGCATGCAACTCTTGATCCCAGGATTGTGAGTTTGAGCTCCACATTGGGTGTGATTACTATTAAAAAACAAAACAAAACAAAACAAAACCTCACAAATCAAATAGGACAGATTGACTTAAGTGTCTCAAAACCTCAAGTAAACACTCTGATATTAGCATGATGTAACAAAAGTTATTTCTAAACTGGTACCAAGATTCTGGGTTTGTTTTGCTGGTTTCCACACCCTTCAGGGTTGCAAAGCCACCAGAGGAGCAGATTCCTCATCACAGCGGGGCTGGAGGCACAGTGGATTTGGGACCACAGTACAGTGAGGGTTTCCTGTTCCTGGTCTGAGATTTTAAGAGCAGAGCAGGACTCAGAAG